TCAGTGGTATATATGGTGATGAGCATGAGAGACAATGGGGGATTCGTCGAAAGACAAAGAAGAGTGCGCAGAAGAGTTAGTAGGGCTTGCCACATGTCTGCCATATGTTGGGGGAACTGCAAAATCTCCAACACCAGACTGTTGCAGCGGGCTGAAGCAGGTCCTGAAAGATAACAGAAAGTGTTTGTGTGTCATCATCAATGATAGAAATGACCCTGATCTCGGTCTCCAAATCAATCTCACCCTCGCCCTCCACCTCCCCATCGTTTGCCATGCCCCTGCCAATGTCTCCCAGTGTCCAGGTATATATATATATATATATATATATATTAAGTAATTCCTAGCTTTCAACATCAAAGTCAAGAGTTTGGAATATAGTTCATGGTAAGTTGTGTTGTGAATAGTTGGTAGCTTAAATCATTAAGGTTTAATTTTCTAATATATTACTAAAATTATAGAATTAATTTTAGTTTGATAAAAAAAGTATTTATTAACGGTTAAACATTTTCTTACTTAAAATAATCAAAATGGGTCAATATCCAACTTAATTTTATGGGTTAAAACCATATATATATATATATATAAACACAGTGCTGGTTTTATTTTTTTGTCGAGGAGGAGGATATTAATTAATTGATTTGATGAAATGAAGTTTTGCTGCACATGGATCCTAAGTCTCCGGAAGCTCGAGTCTTCTATCAACTGGGCGAGGGCTCTACTCATGCCGCCCCCAGCCCATCTCCCATTCCTACTGGTAAAATTCAACTCTGCTACATACTAACATATATATATATATGTATATGTATATAATACGCTATAAAATATATAAATTGATTATTGATAAAAGTGTTTGTGGTAGGGAATAAGGAGATGAGTGCAAGTGTTCCCACGCCCAGCAATAATAATGGTTGTTGCAGAAGAAAAGGATCCATGGAGATTGGTGCCACAGCACTTTTTCTGACTTTCCTATTCTATTAGCAGCTTCCAGTTTGTCATAATATTAATATATATATATATATATATCTTGAAATCTTCATCTTCTTCACATGATATATATATATATATATATATATATATCTTCAAACCAGTTTGGTGGTTTAATTGAAAAATCTTTCATCTTCCCCATAGTAACTTATGTATATTCGAGGTATTTACTATTAATTAATTATGTATTTCCATAATTATTATAATTTGATTGATATCAAATTTGTGATTGACAATAAATTTTATAAATTATGCGTAAATTTTGCGAATTATGTAATTTATTTACAACAGATTTAACTACTTATGTTTAAGTAATTAATAAAATTAGAATATTTAATCGATCAATTAATGTAACGGCCCCGGAAAATATTAAAATGAAATGAGTATTTAAATATATCGAATGCGGA